CAGGCGTGTAATCTTTCATGTTGATAAAATGTAAAAATAACAAGCATGGCTAAACGAGTAAGGCAAATGGCAAGAATATTAAAAATCTCGTGTTTGAAAACTTGTGATTTTGTTAACTTTTTTTCCTTTTTTCGTATATTTATTTTAAGCAAATTATTAGATAATGTTTTTGGACTAAAAAAATTATTTTATCTTTATTAAAAATATTCACATATGTTAAATTAGCACTTTGTTGCAACATTGTAAAATAACTTCATTTTTCTATTAACAATAGCAGATCTGTATTATTTCTAAAATTGTTAGTTTAATATATGCGAATATTAATAATAAATAGAAAATATTATTTTTTTGGGCAAAAAAATATTATCTAATAATTTACTATGCTAGAAACAAATGTGGAAAAAAGAAAAAAAAGTTGCACGAAGCAGGTCTCGAACAGGTGATCTCTAATATTCCAGCCACTCGCCTCAGAATTTCTTTTCTAAATCAGAAACGCTTGCTTTTAACATGCAAGTAGCATGCATTTATCGTCTGTTGTGTCGGCTCGGTGGAAGGGAGACGTTCGCTCTCTTCCATTGGTTGAACGGCCGAGCTCACACGGATACGTGACGTTGCGCTTCTGTAAGATTGTGTGAGGCAGCGGAGCCCGGGACCGCTGTGGGAAATATCGCATCACTGCCATGCGTGGTCAACTCCTATATGAGGTTTCAGACTACGTTAGTTCATTTTCGTATATTCGCCCAGGTGGCAGTTATATCGTTAACAGCCATCTTAGATAACCTATTCTGTCACAATTAACGGTTACGTCCTACGTATACTACGTATCTGTTATAAAGTTGTATTATCTCTATTATAAAAGAAAATTCTCACTAGATTAAGTTCAATCCGTTCGTCAGCGAATGCACCGTAGCTGCATTAAAGACATCGACTGTGAAATTACTGGTAAATTAGACTTTTATATATATATATATATAATAATAATTAATAAATTACTAGTTAATTAGTTAACAATTAAGAGTAACTTTTCAAGCTAAAGAACCTGAGCTGGAAGTCAATTGCTCAATTGTTTATTATTCTCATATGAAATTAGGAATAATATAATAACATCAAATTGTAGAAAAAAACTTTCTCATGCGTCTCGGAACAGGAAAAAGTCTTTCGTGATGCAATCGTTTCCGTCTTATAACTCAAGTAACTTTAATCATTGACCATCGATATGGTATGTTAATTAATTTTTCTCTTTTATCTAATTTTTAATTTATTAATTTAACTTCTAATTTCATATGTGTTCAAATCTTATATAATTCAATTTCCTGCCATGCCCGAATGAGAATATAGTCAGATAATAAGTTTACACCGCTCAATTATTAAATAAAAAAAACTCTTGTTATAATGAATATTATATTTGCGAATAATGACGTTTTTTAAATGTTATTACATTGAAAAAGACCTAAACCAAAGGTCGAAACGTTTGTATTGTGTTATGAGAATAATAAACAATTGAACAATTGACTTCCAATTCAGGTTCTTTAGCTTGAATATTTACCTACAATTTTATAAAACAAGAACCTATACATTTAATATTAATTTTACGAGTAACTTATTAATTTATGTAAATAACATTATACAGGATTTTATATCCTATATAATGAGAATATGTAGGATTATATACTCTGCACACATTACATTAATTGTTAGAGATAATAAAAATACACAAAGGGTGTACTCCATTTTATGCATGATGCATCATACTAACAACAAAATGCATTCATATTTTTAAGTTTTTTTTACTTTTACTTTGCAGTTTTTAATTTTAATGATGGTAAAAGTTGAATGGATCTGCATTGTACCAGGCTGTAAATCAAATTCAAGGACTCCTGGTCATTTTTTCCCCAAGAGTCCAATATTATCAGAAAAGTGGAAAGAAGCTGTAAATAATAGTACAATTTTAAATGTCTCATCAGAAGGATCAAGAAAATACAGAGTATGTCACTTGCATTTTTTGCCTGAAGATTATATTTATACTCAAAATCGTCGAAGACTGAAACATAATGCAGTACCTAGTGTAAATATATGTAATATGCAGATAGTTACAGGTAGTAATCAAATTGTAGAAAAGGTAGGTACAGAAATAAATAATGCAAATACAGAAATAAATAATGCAAATACAGAAATAAATAATGCAAATACAGAAATAAATGATGCAAATACAAAAATAAATAATGCAAATACAGAAATAAATGATACAACTGACATACAGCAGCATTTACAATCTAAAACAAATACTGAATTACATTTACAATTTTAAACCAGTAATGAATTTGAACCTTCTACAAGTAATTTTATATGTGTACAAGCAAATATGCAAAACGATCAAAATAATATCACAAATAAGGTTAATAGTCCACCAAGAATCTCAAAAAATATACTTGGATCTGTTACAAGACAATGTCATTTAACACCAAAAGCACAGAAAATATATAAGAAAGCTGTAACATTAGCGAAGGAAAGAAACCGAATGAAAAGACAAATAATAGATTATAAAACACGCCTAAAAGATGCAAAAAAGTTGTCAACTACTCAATTTTGTAAAAATTTTAATAGTTTAACTTCAACTCAACAATTATTTTTTAATATGCAATTACGAAACACAAAGTATGCTCCAAAGGTACATTTCAAAACATTATTTAATGAATTAAAATCCTCGTTACAATCAACATGTCCTGAACGTAGTTCACAATATTTGAGTAATATATCTTTTGATTCAAAAATATACAATAATGTAAATTTGTAATTGTAAATAGTATGATTTGTAAATATTTTTTTATATTATATTACATTATTATTATTACTATTTTATTATTATTTATATATAGGGAAGAAGATTTACACTTAATGAAAAAATTTTAGCACTATCACTGTATAAACAATCTGGATCTTGTTATAAACTATTATCAAAATTATTTGTTTTACCAAGTGCTACAACTCTTAAATGTTTATTACGAACAATTTCTTTACAACCAGGAATTAATAAATTTATTTTTGAGCATCTTCGGCAGCATATTGCACAAATTAACGATGAAAGAGATAAACTATGCATATTAATGTGGGACGAGATGTCATTAGAAGCCAATTTGCAATATGACCAATTGAATGACAGAATAATTGGTTTTGAAGATTGGGGACATAGACGTACATCATTGATAGCCGATCATGTTTTGGTTTTTATGGTAAGAGGAATTTTTAAAGGATGGAAAATTCCATTATCTTACAACTTTTGCAAAAGTCAAACGAAATCTGCACAGTTAATAAGATGCATTAAAGAAATTATAAAAGAATTAACTCAAGCTGGTTTGACAATTATTGCAACTGTATGTGATCAAGGAGGGCCAAATATGACATCCATTAAGAAACTTCTCGAGGATTCAAGAAGTAAATGTATACAAATAGGCCAAGAATATCGTAAGTGTATTCTGTTTTAATTAATATATATTAGAAATGATATAATAAAAATATAAATAAACTGATTTTTAATTTTCTTTAAGGAGGTTTTATTGAACTTTTTGGGCAAAATATTGTACCTATCTATGATCCACCACATCTTTTAAAAGAAATCCGTAATAATTTATTATTTAAAAATTTGGAAATTAATGCTACTAATTCAGGAACAAAGGAACAACAGTTTGCATCATGGGATATCATTGAACAGGCATATAAAATGGATATTTACACAAATACATTGAATCGTAAATTGCCAAAATTAACTGATGAACATGTTATTAGATCAAAAATTAAAAAAATGAAAGTTAAATGTGCTGCTCAAATTTTTAGTGCAAGATTATCAGCATATATTGAATACAACAGCAAAATCAAAGGTAATTTGATAATAAGTAATAGTTATTATTACTTTCTCTAATTTTGCATTATATATATATATGTTTATTTATTTATTTACTTTGCAGGAGGATTTGTGGAGACACAGATTGGTCCACTACAAATATCAAAGGCAGGATATAATACAGCAATAGTATTAGATTTTTTTAATAAAGTTTTTAATTCCGTGAACGCACATACTTTGCATCCAGAAACTTCTTTACGTGTTGCGGTAACAAGAAATAGCAAACATCATGATTTTTGGCCACATGCTATTAAATTATTGTCCGATATGCGATATGTTGATCCAAAAAGTAAGCAACCAGTTAAGTGCATACCATCATTAAAAAATTGGATTTTTACTCTACGTGGATTTCAAAACATATGGAAAATAGTTAATAATGCAGATATACAATTTTTAAAGACGAGGAATATTAATCAAGATCCATTAGAAAATTTTTTTGGTATGATTCGTAGTCACGGACGTAGAAATATTAATCCTTCATGTAGTCAATTTTGTGGATCATATATAACATTATTAATCAATAATTTAACTTCGAAACGGTCTATGAATTCTAACTGCGAAGACAAAAATGACGGTGATTTACTATTTAATTTAAAACAATTTGTGAAAAATGTTTCTCACGTAAACAGTACATCAGAACAAATAGTTGAAGAAGACTCTGTATCATCTCAAAATAAAACAGCAATGCATAAAATCTCATCGCATAAAAATAATAGCCAAATGTATGTTGCTGGTTGGATTGCAAAAAAGATTTTATCTTTGAAACAATTTAAAAATTGTTTAGCGTGTAAACAGAGTCTTCTAACAACAGATATAACATCTGAAGAATATGTGCAACTAGTTCATAGAAAATATGTACGAGAGAAACCATCATTAACTTATCCATCAATGTCTGTTTTCAAACACGCATTTATTGAAGCAGATTCTATTTTAAATAAAAATATTCCTTTATTATTTCGTAGAAATGTTTCTGCCTTGTTACATACACTTTTAAACGAAAAACTAAATTTAGATTTTATACGTTGTGATGAACATAAGGAAGAATTAAAACATGTTGTGATACAAAAAATCATAAAACTGTTTCTATACACATTTTGTAAAATAGTTAATAGAATTTTATCTGGTCGTGATACTCGATATAATTCTACAAATATTATATTTCAGCAAGCTATTGAACATTATAAAAAAAAGCAAAAGCGGTTTATAAAAAAATTGTAAATCTTTTGACAATACTTTGACAATACTAATTGTAATACTTTTGACAATACTTTGACAATACTAATTGTAATATTTTTGACAATATATTATTTAATATTAATATTAATACTTCTCAAAATTTATTCTATTTATATATTCTTATTAAAGTTGCAATTATTAAGTTTGTAATTTAATAATAACTATAATGCTTTCATCATATTGTAATTAAACTAATGATATGACTAATGTAATAATTTATTTTTCAGTTTATAACTTTATAGTTGCAACTTTTGTTTTTATTTTTTAAATTTTACTATTGTTAATAAATATATTGTATTAGAGGTCGTCCATATTGAATATTAGTTTGTTCAT